CAAGTAGCAAAGCCAAGAATGAAAACCCGGCGAAAAATAAAAAAAATAAAAAAATAGAAGCCGTCGCTTAGAGGAATCCATTGTCCTTGCTTGGACTTTAAGGACAGTTTTGGACAAGTGGAAAGATGAAAAATGATTCTTATTTCTTCACGCACACGTGCACGGACCCAAATGAGAGACCGCAACCCGCTGAATTTCTGGCCTTGTCCAAACCTGTCATTAAACAAGGACAGTGGATTTGGGCATGAAATTCAGGGGTTTCATCCCCCTGAGTTATTTACAAAAAGAATAAAAGCAGGATCTCTCTTTCTATATATCCCTATCTATTTATATCTATCCATCTCTCTCTGTCTATCTGCCTATTATCTATCTATCTATCTATCTATCTATCTATCTGTCTGTCTGTCTGTCTGTCTGTCTGTCTGTCTATCTAATAATATATCTATCAATCATCTATCTAATCATATCTATCTAATCATATCTATCAATCACCTATCTATCTATATCTAATCTATCAATCACCTATCTATCTATCTATCTATCTATCTATCTATCTATCTATCTATCTATCTATCTATCTATCTATCTATATCTAATCATACCTATTTATCTAATCATATCTATCATCTATCTAATCATATTTATCTTTCTAATATCTATCTATCCATCCATCCATCCATCTATCCATCCCTATTTGCCTACCTATCTAAATATTCTTTGGCTAATGGGATGGGTGCATATAAATTCAATCTAGCAATATACATTTAATAAATAAAGGCTTATCTAATGTCAGTTTTCTCAGAAAATGGAGATATTTTTTTTCTCTTGGACTTACGAGAGAAACTCCATTTCTGTCACTCTGGAATTACTTTTTCAGAAAAAGGAACTTTTCTTTTTTTGATACTGTCGAAAGGAAATTTGTATTGGTGTCGTTCTACATCCGGGTTTGGGTCGCTTTATCTGCCTCTCCACATTTTTCCCTGTTCAGATAAAAAAAACAGGAAGAACAGAGAGGAGGTTGAGACCTGAGTCACTTTTATGCTGTCATAGCAGAGTTTAATTTTCATTTGTTACTTCTTCAAGAGCAGCAAAATACTGAAAACTGAGGCTCGTTTTCTCGAAAGGAAGCGCTGTTGCATTGGAATATGGGAGATGGGAAACGGTGAATTGAAAAGCAAAGAGATGTTTTAGATTAGGGCTTTTTAACCTTGGCTATTTTAAGGTGGGTGGACTTCAACTCCCAGAATTCCCCCCAGCCAGCATTGCAAGATTGAATTAAACACTTCCGGTTTTTGCGTTTAAGCAAAAAAAAATAATATTGGAAATATGCAGTTGGTTTCAGATATACAGATGGGAAGGAGTGGCTTTGGAGTGCATTTAATTTGTTTGAGGTTTTCGAAGAGATTCTGGGGGAGTCTCAGCTGGAGAGCTTTAAAAAAAGAGCAAACATGATTTTTTAAATGCTTTTTAAACATTTTCATTTTTTTAACTCATTTTCCTCGGCTTCAAGAGGAATAGGAATCTGCTTCCTATCCTTAAATCTTGTTTTTTTTTGTCCTTAACTCTTGATTCCCCCCCCCTGCCTCCCTTCTGCTCTAAGAAAGCCAAAATGGGAACCCGGAAGTCAGAGGTCGCGTATCGCTTTTAACTTTTTTTTTTAAAGGGATGTAGCTCTACGATCCCCGGATCCCACGCGCCGTTCCGTCTCTCAGGCGACCCTTTCCCGGAAGTGGCGCCCTCGGAGAAGCGGAAGTGACGCCGGAGGGGAAGTTTCTCCGCGAAGGAGGCGGCGGCGGCGGCGGCGGCTTCAGCCATGTCAGCGGGCGGCGCGGGGCAGCGGGAGCCGGGGGCCTCGGGCGGGTGAGGAGGGCGCCCGGGCAGGGAGGAACCGGGGAGGGAGGCCGGGTAAAGCGCTCGGGCGGCCTACAGGAGCGGACTACAACTCCCATCAGCCCCCGCTCGATCTGGGACTGGGACCCCCTTTTCCCAGCCCTTCAGCTGATCCCCGCCCTAAATTATGTTTTATATCATATCTATATACCTAGAATTTGTGTGTGTATGTATATATATATATATATATTTGTTTTCTGAGGTTATATATATATATAAATAATATAGTGTAACTGTATGTGTGTATGTATATATATGTATATATATATATGTACATATATGTATGTGTGTATACACACACACACATATATATATTCACGTACATATATATACATGTATGTGTGTGTATGTATATATATATATATATATTTGTTTTTTAAGGTTTTCACGGGTGTTTATATGTGAGTCTTTGGTCATTCGGGTTTTCTCCCGTGTAAGATTAGAAGTATCATAGCGACGTTTCGATGAAATCACATTCATCATCATCAGGCTTGTGCTTTTAGCTTTGTGCTTCTTAGAGTAATATGAAATGTCTGCTGTTTCTGGCAGTTAAAAGAGAGAAACAGCAGACATTTCATATTACTCTAAGAAGCACAAAGCTAAAAGCACAAGCCTGATGATGATGAATGTGATTTCATCGAAACGTCGCTANCTGCCTTGCAAAGGGAATGGTCAGGAAGAAAAAAAAAACATCTACCTAGCAAAAGAGAAAACCCAGAGACATTAATTCTCCATATGTCTGATACTCTTGGCAAGTAGCAAAGCCAAGAATGAAAACCCGGCGAAAAATAAAAAAAATAAAAAAATAGAAGCCGTCGCTTAGAGGAATCCATTGTCCTTGCTTGGACTTTTAAGGACAGTTTTGGACAAGTGGAAAGATGAAAAATGATTCTTATTTCTTCACGCACACGTGCACGGACCCAAATGAGAGACCGCAACCCGCTGAATTTCTGGCCTTGTCCAAACCTGTCATTAAACAAGGACAGTGGATTTGGGCATGAAATTCAGGGGTTTCATCCCCCTGAGTTATTTACAAAAAGAATAAAAGCAGGATCTCTCTTTCTATATATCCCTATCTATTTATATCTATCCATCTCTCTCTGTCTATCTGCCTATTATCTATCTATCTATCTGTCTGTCTGTCTGTCTGTCTGTCCGTCTATCTAATAATATATCTATCAATCATCTATCTAATCATATCTATCTAATCATATCTATCAATCACCTATCTATCTATATCTAATATCTATCAATCACCTATCTATCTATCTATCTATCTATCTATCTATCTATCTATCTATCTATCTATCTATCTATCTATCTATCTATCTATCTATCTATCTATCTATATCTAATCATACCTATTTATCTAATCATATCTATCATCTATCTAATCATATTTATCTTTCTAATATCTATCTATCCATCCATCCATCCATCTATCCATCCCTATTTGCCTACCTATCTAAATATTCTTTGGCTAATGGGATGGGTGCATATAAATTCAATCTAGCAATATACATTTAATAAATAAAGGCTTATCTAATGTCAGTTTTCTCAGAAAATGGAGATATTTTTTTTTTCTTGGACTTACGAGAGAAACTCCATTTCTGTCACTCTGGAATTACTTTTTCAGAAAAAGGAACTTTTCTTTTTTTGATACTGTCGAAAGGAAATTTGTATTGGTGTCGTTCTACATCCGGGTTTGGGTCGCTTTATCTGCCTCTCCACATTTTTCCCTGTTCAGATAAAAAATACAGGAAGAACAGAGAGGAGGTTGAGACCTGAGTCACTTTTATGCTGTCATAGCAGAGTTTAACTTTCATTTGTTACTTCTTCAAGAGCAGCAAAATACTGAAAACTGAGACTCGTTTTCTCTAAAGGAAGCGCTGTTGCATTGGAAGATGGGAGATGGGAAACGGTGAATTGAAAAGCAAAGAGATGTTTTAGATTAGCGTTTTTTAACCTTGGCTATTTTAAGGTGGGTGGACTTCAACTCCCAGAATTCCCCCCAGCCAGCATTGCAAGATTGAATTAAACCATTTTTTAATTTCACACTTAGAAGCTTTAAAATGTTTAGAACTCAATTCCAGCGTGCTGGCTGGGGCATTGAGAGTTTTTAACTGGACCAGTCTAGGATTTCAACTAGGGCATGCTGGGAGGCTACAAAACTTAAAAGTAACCAAAGTTGAAAAATATTGTTTCAGAGATATTTAGTAAGTCTTTTTTTCTGGGGAGGGGGAACAAAATACAGTCTCTTTTCTCTCTCTTTTTTTTTAGAAAATAGGACATATGTTAAAATAGGCTGACTGGGAATTGTGGGAGTTGAAATCCACCCCTCTTAAAAAGTTGGCCAGGTTGCAATAATATATATTTAAATATGCTTTTATTTGGGAATAAAAATCGGAACATTTCGCTTTTCTGTCCTTTTTTAACACAGAGAAATTGTATTTTGGTGGGTTTTAGCACAGGAGGAGGAAGAAGCAGCGCACGTGCTCCAAAGCCCGGGCAAGCAGGGAGTCACGTGACTCCATCCACCACCACCCCGCGGGAGGAGCCGGATGTATGGATGGGCCGCTGGCATAGATATACAAAAGTGTAGAACATTTCCGGTTTTTGCGCTTAAGCAAAAAAATAATAATATTGGAAATATGCAGTTGGTTTCAGATATACAGATGGGAAGGAGTGGCTTTGGAGTGCATTTAATTTGTTAGAGGTTTTCGAAGAGATTCTGGGGGAGTCTCAGCTGGTGAGCTTTAAAAAAAGAGCAAACATGATTTTTTAAATGCTTTTTAAACATTTTCATTTTTTTAACTCATTTTCCTCGGCTTCAAGAGGAATAGGAATCTGTCCTTAACTCTTGATTCCCCCCCCTGCCTCCCTTCTGCTCTAAGAAAGCCAAAATGGGAACCCGGAAGTCAGAGGTCGCGTATCGCTTTTAACTTTTTTTTTTAAAGGGATGTAGCTCTACGGTTCCCGGATCCCACGCGCCGTTCCGTCTCTCAGGCGACCCTTTCCCGGAAGTGGCGCCCTCGGAGAAGCGGAAGTGACGCCGGAGGGGAAGTTTCTCCGCGAAGGAGGCGGCGGCGGCAGCGGCGGCGGCTTCAGCCATGTCAGCGGGCGGCGCGGGGCAGCGGGAGCCGGGGGCCTCGGGCGGGTGAGGAGGGCGCCCGGGCAGGGAGGAACCGGGGAGGGAGGCCGGGTAAAGCGCTCGGGCGGCCTACAGGAGCGGACTACAACTCCCATCAGCCCCCGCTCGATCTGGGACCGGGACCCCCTTTTCCCAGCCCTTCAGCTGATCCCCGCCCTAAATTATGTTTTATATCATATCTATATACCTAGAATTTGTGTGTGTATGTATATATATATATATATATTTGTTTTCTGAGGTTATATATATATATATAAATAATATAGTGTAACTGTATGTGTGTATGTATATATATGTATATATATATATGTACATATATGTATGTGTGTATACACACACACACATATATATATTCACGTACATATATATACATGTATGTGTGTGTGTGTGTATATATATATATATATATATATATATAATGTATCCCACCCCCTAAATGTATCCCACCCCCTTTGTGTCATGTGAAACCTCCACCTATTCCCCCCCAAAACCGGTTTTGTGCCCCTCCAAGAAATACAGATCCTTTTTAGCAAGAGGGAATTGGTGTGTGTGTTTGGGGATGTTCCAGGAAAGCACTTTGTGTTTGTGTGCAAATTGACACACTCACACCCCTTTACAACCTGCTTCATTCCCAATCCTTACCAATGGCAGGCAGAAGTTGCCCCGGCAGCTCTTTCTCCTCAGGGAAAGGAGAGACTTTTTCACCCCCAAAGCGGGCACTGACTTCAGCTCTTTGGGTTTTTTTGTTCTCTTTTGCCTCAAAGCAGCCTCTTTTTGCCCCAAAACATCTACTCTTGTGGCCTTCTGGAGCTTGGCTGGACTCCGCTTCCTCTTCCTCCTCTTCTTTCTGTGTTTCATCCTGTTGTCCATGAGGTTCACTCAGACTTCAACTCCAGGGCTTCTTTTCCTCCTTTCCGCCTCCAAGTGACTTCAGCCCTTTCCCCCTCAGGAGTTGCCTTGCTTTCTGGGCTCCTGAGATGGGCACAAATTCACTCTTTTGCCCCAAATTTCTACTCTTGTGACCTTCTGGAGCTTGGCTGGACTCTTCCTTTTTCCTTGGTCATCTCTTGGGCTTCTTCCTCCTCTTCCAGGCTTCCCTTCTTCATCCTGTCGTTCCTCTGAGATTCATTCAGACTTCAGCTCCAGGGCTTGTTGGCCTCCTTTCCCCCAGCTGAGGCGCCGAGTGACTTCTGGTCATTTTCCCCTCAGGAGCTGCCTTCCTTTCTGGATCTTCTGCTCCCCTTCTGGGCTCCTGAGGTGGGCAGCGACTTCAGCTCTTTTCCCCTCAGGAACTGCCTTCCTATCTGGGACTTCTGCTCCCCTTCTGGGCTCCTGAGGTGGGCAGCAACTTCAGCCCTTTTCCCCTCAGGAACTGCCTTCCTGTCTGGGACTTCTGCTCCCCTTCTGGGCTCCTGAGGTGGGCAGCAACTTCAGCCCTTTTCCCCTCAGGAACTGCCTTCCTGTCTGGGACTTCTGCTCCCCTTCTGGGCTCCTGAGGTGGGCAGCGACTTCAACCCTTTTTCCCTCAGGAGCTGCGGTTTCCTTCTGCTTCTCCTCCTCCCAGTCTTCTTCTCTTCCTTCCTTCCCTCACAGTCTCTCTGGGCAAACTGACCCTCTCCCTCAGCCGTGGCCCCTTTTTATACTTGAGGCGCTCTCCCCTGATTGGTGGAGCGCCTCAGGGCCCCCTGCTTTTGATTTGCTCTCCAGCCAGCCGTCTCATTGGTTCTTCCTTGACAAACCTGCTGGCTGTTTCCAGGAGTCATTTCTGAGTGGGGCAAAAAAAAGAAAAAAAGGAGGCTTTTTTGAAGAGAAAATGGATGGGTGAGAATTATTATTTGTGCCTGGTCCTTCGTTTGTGGCTGATCTGACCTCTTGAACTCACAGCAACCAACATGAGTTGGAAAGCAACCGCAAACTGCAAAAAAGAACCCCTTAAGTGGGTTAATAGTTGTAATTTCATTAATTAATAGGTTTGAATTCAAGAATTATTTGGGGTTCCAAATTGCACTAGAATAAATAAATAATGAGATCCAGACAGCTGTGAGGAAAGAAGAAATATATATTCCTAAAAGCAAAACAGATTGTTTTTAGGGGCAGGCTGCCAAAAAAAGGGGTACAGTAGCAGATTTTAATGGGGGGGCTTGTCTTGGGTGTCGCATGCTGATTCTAGGGTGACCCTTGAGGCGCATTTACGTGTGTGTGTGTATGTAGATATGTTTATCCTTGTGAACATGCAGTTCCTCTAGGAGACCTAATTTAATGAACTCTATGTTTTCAGACCTTATCCTTTGATATGTGGATTAGGTCTGGGTAACTTATTTGGGGGGTGCTTTGAGAAAGGGATTTCCCCCCGTTTGCTATTTTTACTTGATTAGTTTAGTTTCAGCTTGACCGTCAATTACCTAGCGGGGACGATGATTCTCAGACCATGGTGGACTCCGTTAATATTTGAAGGGAAGATGGAAACGGGAGGAAGAGTGGAATACCTTTTGATATAACACCCCTCAGGCTGTGACGGTCACGGCGCAGAATTAGGGATTCCAATTAGAGAGAGAACAAATGCAAAGTCTTCCAGAATGTCAAAAGGGGAAAGAGGGAGATTTGAGAAATGGGCCCAGCTGACAGAAGGAATTGAAAAATTATATATGTGTGTGTATGTATGTATGTATGTATGTATGTATGTATGTATGTATGTATGTTTTTTAGCCCTGACGATGTCAAACGTTTTGTTGACGAAAGCTAGGTAGATTAAACATTTTATATGTATTCTCTTGGCGGTCTATATTTATTTTGATATATATATCTTTGAGTTTGGTGCACCCTGTCGGCCCAAATATCTCAGAAGGGTATGTCTGGTTGAAAAGAACTAAAAAGTTCGAAATGGCTATTCCAGTTCTCCCTTAATTCTTTGTCAGCAATCCAAATTTTGAAATATATATATATTGCTAACCACCCTGATGATGCTGGCAGGAAGCCGGCAAAAGCTAGGTGTTTTAACTTTATTAAAACTTTTATAGTTTTTAAGAACCTCCTGGTGGTCTCACAGTTTGTGGTTCCCCGAATATGGATTTACCCAGGAGTCAACTTTCGGTTTTTAGGATTTTAAGTAATATATATATATATATTCCTAATTTCCAGGCGCCGCAGCAAATGGGACCAGCCGGGGCCTTCGCCAGCTCTCTTCCTCCTTCCTGCTACCACGCCTGTGGCCGGCCGCCTCGTCCAGGGCGGCGGAGACGGAATGTCCGGCTCGGAAGGCTCGGCGGCTCCTTTGGGAGCGCTGGACGCTGCGGCGGCCGTGGCCGCGAAAATCAACGCCATGTTGATGGCAAAAGGGAAGCTGAAGCCCTCGGCCACTTCCGCAGACAAGGTGAGTGGCCATGGTTAGGTGGGCTTTGCCTCAGCGCGCCTGCCGTCAAGTAGTCCTCGGCTTACAACCGCCGTCGAGCCTAGGTTTCCGTTGCTAAGCGAGGACAGTTGCGTTTTCTCCCATTTTACAGCCTTGCTCTCCACAGTCGTTAATAGTCACACGGTCGTTAAGTGGATCTCCCTCCCCCCCCGTTGATTTTTATTGTCAGAAGGCCGCAAAATGGGGACCCTGCGGCCTTCATAAGTACGAGCCAGCTGCCCAGGGTCTGAATTTTGATCAGGCGACCCTGGGGATGGTCGTAAGGGTGAAAAAAAAGAGTCGTAAGTCCCAGTGCCCTTTGTAACCTCAAGAGGTAACCTCTGAGGTAAAATGGGCGGCCTATAATTTTTATAAATAAATAGGCTTCAAATGGTCGTTAAATGGACGGCTATAACTCAAAGACTCTCTGTGTTTATTCACTCCTGACTTGTCTTTGTTCTTGCTACTGGGTGTAAGTTCTCAGACCCCCAAATATCTCGCCCACACCAGTCCTGTGCTGTCTCTGGGGGGGGAGTTGATTTATTTCTATATTTAATTTTTATCATGGATCATTTCTCGATCTGAGGCCCGCCTGACTTGACATCAGGTGAGATATAAGCGAGACAAGTCACAGGTTGGGCGTATTAAGGAAGATATTTATTATTATTTGTTGAAATTCTATCCTGTCTTTATTACTCTATAAGTAACTCAAGGTAATGATCACATCTAGTACTCCTTCCTCCTATTTTCCCCATAACAACAACCCTATAAGATGGGTTGGGCTGAGAGGGAGGGGCTGCCCCAAAGTTACCCAGTCAGTTTTCATGCCCAAAGGCAGAACTAGAACTCCCCGTCACCTAGGTGATGGGCCCAAAGTCACCAGGCTGGCTTTCGTGCCTAAGGCAGGACTAGAACTCCCCGTCTCCTGGTGATTGTCCCAAAGTCACCCAACCAGCTTTCATGCCTGAGGCGGGACTAGAACTCGCCTTCTCCTGGTAATTGCCCCAAAGTCACCCAGTTGGCTTTCATGCCTAAGGCGGGACTAGAACTCCCTGTCTCCTGGTGATTGGTTTAAAGTCACCAGTCGGCTTTCAGGTCTCTGGGGGAACTAGAACTCACTGTCTTCCGGTGATTGGCCCAAAGTCACCAGGCTGGCTTTCATGCCTAAGGCGGGACTAGAACTCACCGTCTCCTAGCCCCTAGCGCAGCACCTTCCCCACTAGACCAAGCTGACTCTGTCTGCTTTCCCTATTATTTCCCGGTCCTCCTCCCTTCTGCTCTTCGGCAGCTCCAGGCTTCAGGCAAAGGTCCGGCAGGCAACAAAAGCAAAGATGATCTCGTGGTGGCCGAAGTGGAGATCAACGACGTGCCGCTGACCTGCCGGAATCTCCTAACAAGAGGACAGACGCAGGACGAGGTCTGGCGCCCTCTCGAGTGGGGCTTTGCAGTATCTTAATTGCCCATAATAGCAGCTTGGTAGGCTTCAAACAGGTTGATGGGAGTTGAAGTCCACTCTTCTTAAAACCTGCAGGCTGGGGAATTCTGGGAGTGGAAGTCCACCCCTCTTGAAGCATGCTGGCTGGGGAATTCTGGAAATTGAAGTCCATTTACCTTAAAGCATGCCGGCTGGGGGATTCTGGGAGTCGAAGTCTTCATATTGTCAAGGCTAAGAAACCTTGAATTTCTCTGTGTTACTTCTCTTCCTTTTGCTGGGAAAATCTGCCTCTTCCCAAGAAAATTTGGACGGGGGGGAGGGTTGCTATGAATGTCTTTGGGAAAAAAGACAAGTGGATTTTTCAGCTTCAATTGAACTTTTCTTGCACAGCTGATTGTGATTTTTTTTCTCCTCCTCCTCCTCCTCCTCCTCCTCCTCCTCCTCCTCCAATGTCTGCAGATAAGCAAGCTGAGTGGGGCAGCAGTCTCCACTCGCGGGCGCTACATGACTGCGGAAGAGAAAATCAAAATTGGCCCTGGGTGCGTATTGCCGTTGTTTCCATCTCCCTTTCGTCTCTTTAAAAAAAAAACCACCCTCCCCAAACTCATTATTATTGACTGAAAATATATATTTTTAGCATCGGGGAGGTCAGCATCTCAAGTGTTAAATCTTGGTTTTTAAAAAATGAAGCATGCGTCTTTTTTTCTTCTTCCTTCCTCTCCAGTGATCGTCCCCTATACTTGCATGTCCAAGGACAGACGAGAGAACTGGTGGACAGTAAGTCGATACCGTTTAGATCCTCTGGGCAGAAATCAGGAAATGGGGGTTTGATCTTGGCCGGCTAGGGAATTCTGGGAGTTTGAAGTCTATGCATCCTCAGGTTGCCAGGGTTAAGAAGCACTGAAATAAGAGCGAGGAAAACAGTGGACGTTCTAGCCCAGGTCTTAAAAGTGACAAGGATTAAGATGAATTTAAGTTAAACGTAACATGGAAAATGAGATTTAAAAAAAAAGAAGAACATACATCTGTGTATTTAGTTTTATAACAGAGGTTCCAGTAGAAGAGAGGGTTGAAATGAGGGAGTCCTTGGTGCTCTCTCGGCTGGGTGGTTTTCTTGCAGACGTTTCATGACCCAACTAGGTAACATCATCAATGTAGATGGGATGGGGCTTTCAAGGAGGAGGAGGAAGAAAAGACTGTGGGGTCCTTGGTGCTCTCTGAGCTTGGTTATTTTCTTGCAGACGTTTCACGACCCAACTAGGGAACATCATCAGTGCTAGATGTACAATAAAGACCTATATTAATCAATGCTAGGCCTATAATAAACCTCTAATAAGGGTAGTCCTTGACAGACAACTCTAACATAGCCTGCCCTTAACGGTCATAAATCACGTCAGTCGCCCAAGCGACCTGATTTTTATGACTTTTTTTCCCAGCGGCCGGAAAACGAACCCCACGGTTACAAAACGAACACTGCGCTGGTTAAATTGGAACTCGTGGCTCTTTACGGCCCGGTTTCGCTTCTTTGAAGTGACAGCGGCCCTTGAGCAAAACGACTTAGCTCACTTAACGTCCAGGGCAACATAGGTTGTAAAGTCAGGGAGGACTCCCCTTAATAACCGCCTTATGTAGCCGCGGGAACGTAAAGGTCTTGGGGTGAAGCTCACCTGTTTTGACGCCCTTTGCAGGAGCTGTCAACCGGATCAAAGAAATCATCACCAACGGAGTGGTCAAAGCGGCCACCGGCTCCAGCCCCACCTTCAACGGGGCCACGGTGACCGTCTACCACCAGCCTGCCCCCATTACCCCCTTGCCCCCCACTGTCGGGCAGAAGGCGCCCTTCCAGTCTGGCGGAGTAAGTATTGTCGGAGAAGGAAAGGGCCCCGGTGACTTTTACCAGCTTGGTAGGCATGGCAGACGAAGCGGCTTCGGTTTTACTTCGATCTCTGCTTCGGGAGGGTTGATACGACGGGCTGAGCTGGACGGTTTGAGTGTCTCAGGGCTGCTCAATCGAAACGCAGATTTGCTTTCCCTGTTTTTGGTGGGCTGGACGTCTCAGTTATAGGAAATCCCCAATTATTCGCTTAGTGACTGAAGTTACGACGGCACTGAAAGAATTGACTAGGACCGTTTGTCACACTTACAACAGTCACGGGATCAAAATTCAGAGGCTTGGCAACTGACTTGTGTTTATGACGGTCGCAGCGTCCCGTAAATCCCCTTTGGCGACTTTCTGACCAACAAAGGCAATGGGGACGCTGTATTCACTTCACAATCCTGTTACTGACTTAACAATTGCAGTGTTTAACTTAACAATATCTGTGAGAAAGGCCATAACTTGGGGTGCAACTCCTTTAACAACAGCCCCGCTTAGCGACAGGCTGCCTTGTGGCCGTATGCCGAGGACCGTCTGTCCTCACTGCTTCTCTCCTTGAACCAGATTAAGCGAGTTTACTGGGCTTCCCACCTCAGTTTGCGGGGGGATCAATGAGGGCCATTGGAGAGAATTTGAGGGGGGGGCGGCTAGAAGGCTTATCTTTAAGGGGCTAGTCATCATGGATTTGCCCACCCAGTCCGTGTGCTGTGTCTGGTGGGGAATTCTGGGAGTTGAAGTCCACAAGTCTTAAAAGTGGCCGAGTTGGGGGACCCCCTGATTTAGGATGACCACAAATTTGTCTCCTAATGCTGGCTGGGGAATTTTGGGAGTTGACGCCCACAAGTCTTAAAAGTGGCCGGGTTTGGGGACCCCTTGTGCTAGAGGATTAAGAAGGCCTGGTCTGTTGAGCAGGGCTAGGCCGATACCATCCTCTTACAGAAATGCAATGGGGAGAGGGGTCCAGCTTCCAGACAGCAGAGACCTCCCTGTACCATTCAACAACGCCCTCGGCCTTTCCTTCCAGAGAGATCAACTGTCAAGCCCCGGAGGAGAACATCTGGGGGTTTGGCAAGGCCAAAATCCTGTGTGTTTTTGATTTCTTCTCTTTCAAAACGAGATTGAAAGAAAAAAATATATATATGTGATTTTCTTATATTAGGAAGGAAGGGCCATCTCATTCCAGCTTGGTTTCCTAATTGAGCAGGGGGCTGGACTAGAAGACCTCCAAGGTCCCTTCCATCTCTTGTTACTCTGTTATTATTCTGCTTGAGCAAGGGGCTGGACTAGAAGACCTCCAAGGTCCCTTCCATCTCTGTTACTATTCTGCTTGAGCAGGGGGCTGGACTAGAAGACCTCCAAGGTCCCTTCAATCTCTGTTACTCTGTTATTATTCTGCTTGAGCTTGGGGCTGGACTAGAAGACCTCCAAGGTCCCTTCCATCTCTGTTACTATTCTGCTTGAGCAGGGGGCTGGACTAGAAGACCTCCAAGGTCCCTTCCAGCTCTGTTATTCAGCGTGCCTGGCTGAGGAATTCAGGGAGTCAAAAGGGCCAAGTTGGAAGAGCCCTGCGTGAAACGAACGGTCGTAACTTGAGGATCCCCCGCCGATAAAATGGAAATGGAAAGGCACGCTCCCCCGGGTGACTTTTGGATCTTTGTGTGTTGTGCAGATGCATTACGTCCAGGACAAGCTGTTTGTGGGCTTGGAACACGCCATCCCCACCTTCAGCGTCAAGGAGAAGGTGGAAGGGCCGGGCTGCTCCTATTTGCAGCACATCCAGATAGAAACGGGGGCCAAGGTGTTCCTTCGGGGGAAGGGCTCCGGCTGCATCGAACCCGCCTCCGGGCGCGAAGCATTCGAACCCATGTACATTTACATTAGGTAAGCGGAGCGGATTCCTTGATTGGATCCGGCGTTTAGTGACCTGTTTTCTATTTTCATTTTCTGTACGTGCTCTTCCCCCCCCCCCCCCCATTTTCAGGTTTTCATAAAGCTGTGTAAAAATGCACATTGGTTTCATCTACTGTTCTCCATCCTTTTTCCTCATTAGAATCATTTTCAGTTGGGCTTTGTTATTTTGAATTCACTTTTTAATGAATTTCCATCCATGTTAAGCTCCTTTTTTCCCCATTAGTTCGTTTTTCTAATGAGTAGGATAGGATAGGATAAATTAGAGAGAAAGATAGGATAGATGGATAGATAGATTAGATGAATGGATGGATGGATAGATAAAAGGTAGGTAGGTAGGTAGGTAGATAGGTAGGTAGATAGATGATGGATGGGAAGATAGGATAGGATAGGATAAATTAGGATAGATGGATAGATTAGATGAGTGGATGGATAGATAGATAAAAGGTAGGTAGGTAGATAGATAGATTAGATAGATAGATAGATAGATAGATAGATAGATAGATAGATAGATAGATAGATAGATAGATAGATAGATAGATAGATAGATAGATAGATGATGGATGGGAAGATAGGATAGGATAGGATAAATTAGATAGGATAGATGGATAGATAGATTAGATGGGTGGATGGATGGATGGATAGATAAGAGAAATAGGATAGATGGATAGATAGATAGGTAGATAGATAGAAAGATAGGATAGGATAGGATAAATTAGAGAGATAGGATAGATGGATAGATAGATTAGATGAGTGGATGGATGGATGGATGGATAGATAGATAAAAGGTAGGTAGGTAGGTAGGTAGGTAGGTAGATAGATAGATAGATAGATAGATAGATAGATAGATAGGTAGGTAGGTAGGTAGATAGATAGATAGGATAGGATAGGATAGGATAAATTAGAGAGATAGGATAGATGGATAGATAGATTAGATGAGTGGATGGATGGATAGATAAAAGGTAGGTAGGTAGGTAGGTAGGTAGGTAGGTAGGTAGATAGATAGATAGATAGATAGATAGATAGATAGATAGATAGATAGATAGATAGATAGATAGATAGATGATGGATGGGAAGATAGGATAGGATAGGATAAATTAGATAGGATAAATGGATAGATAGATTAGATGAGTGGATGGATGGATGGATGGATAGATAAAAAGGTAGGTAGATAGGTAGGTAGGTAGGTAGATAGATAGATAGATAGATAGATAGATAGACAGACAGACAGACAGATAGATAGATAGATAGATAGATAGATAGATAGATAGATAGATAGATAGATAGATAGATAGATAGATAGATAGATGATGGATGGGAAGATAGGATAGGATAGGATAAATTAGATAGGATAGATGGATAGATAGATTAGATGGGTGGATAGATAAGAGAGAAATAGGATAGATGGATAGATAGATGCATAGAGATAGAGATAGATGATAGATAGATAGATTTAGATAGAATAGATAGATAGATAGATAGATAGATAGATAGATAGATAGATAGATAGATAGATAGATAGATAGATAGATAGATAGATAGATAGATGGATAGGATAGGATAGGATAGGATAGGATAGGATAAATTAGAGAGATAGGATAGATGGATAGATTAGATGGGTGGATAGATGGACGGATAGATAGATAGATAAATAGGATAGATGGATAGATAAAAGGTAGGTGGGTGGGTGGGTAGGTAGGTAGATAGATAGATAGATAGATAGATAGATAGATAGATAGATAGATAGATAGATAGATAGATAGATAGATAGATAGATAGATCTTTCACAGTGCTACTGTACCTGCCAAGGGTCTTCCTTCTGCTTTAAGTTGCTGAAATCCTAAAATTCTTAAAAATCCCAACATTTAAGACGCTTACCACTTTATCCTTTACGCCTATGTCTTTTACAGCCATCCCAAGCCAGAAGGCCTGGCGGCAGCCAAAAAGCTTTGCGAGAACTTACTACAAACTGTAAGTTACTTCACCGCCGCGCGACTACCTTCACCCCTGCACGTTATTCCCTTAACAACTTGTGGCAAAGAAATGTCGCAAATCGGGGGCCAGGCTTCCTTTTCACCAATGTCTCCCTTAGCAAGTAGAAATTCTGGGCTCACTTTTGGGCCGGTAATCAACGGCGGTCGCTAAACGAGGACTGCCTGAACGAGGCAAGCTTCAGGGTAGATTGGGGAAGGGGCCTAATCGCTTGACTAAGGAACGGACCGTTGCCACCAAACGGGGGGAACGTTTGAAAAAGCCTCCGATGATTAAAAAGCGGGCTCGTTTGTCGGCTCCTAATTAACCGAATCTGCCCTTCCTTTCCAGGTCCACGCCGAATACTCGCGGTTTGTAAACCAGATGGCCACCACGATGCCCTTAACAGGTCTGTCTTGTCCAGCTGCTCAACTATTTCAGGTTTCTGACCGGGGTTGGGGGGGATGTTTCCACTGGTGGGATTCCACTGGTGGCAGAACTGGTAGCTCATTTTTTTGTTCCCCTACGAACTTCCGGAAGCGGCACCCACGCAGACAACCGGTTGTTCACCTATCTGAATCCCACCACTGGATGTTTCTCTCTGGAGGGTCTCCAGACCTACTTTTTTTTTTCCCCTTCCCTTTTTCCACCCCATTCAATCCAACGTGGCTGATCCAACTTTTCCCTCCCTGCTCTTCTCTCGGCTCCGATCAGGATTCACGCAACCGGCAACTCTCGCCACCGTTCCCCCCCAGCCGCCGTATTACCCGCCCAACGGCTTCCAGGCCAGCTACCCCATGGCTCCACCCCCTCAGCAACCCGGCCAGCCTCCTTACGTGATGCCGGGCATCGGACCTCCAGCGGTCCCCATGGCACCCGGCGTACTGGCCCTCCCCACCGGCGTCCCACCGGTGCCCACCCAGTACCCAATTACGCAAGTCCAGTCCGCTGCGACCACAAGCCAGGTAAGAACAGGCAGCGCTTTCTGTGAAGATAATATTGGAATAATAACAAGAACAACTTCCAGGTCCTTGGAAAGACTAAATCTAGGTGGATGAAAATGCCACCGGTCGATAGGTAGACTAAAACGCCAAATTTTGGGGTAGACTAAAACACCAAGTCCAGTCTGAACATCTGGCTGATTGTACAATGAGACAATAACAACAACAACAACAACAACACACCTGAGAGCATTATTGTGGAAAAGAAAAAAATATCTGGTTCATTAATTATTGCAAATACCAGGTGATGCACAAATGGGAGAGAAACAGCCAGGAAAAAAAATAAGTATCATGACTTGCAAATTGAAATTGAGTCCTTGCTTAGGACGCGAACTGTTTTTACCAGTCCTGGACTGTGAATTGAATTGAAGATTAACAACAAAATAACAGTAATAATAATACTAATAATAATAATAATTGAATATCCTGACTTTGCAAAAATCCACCTTACTTGGAACTGCTTATACACTCAGAGGTTACCTTAACAGCTCTTAGGTCCTTGGTTAAGGCCTGAACTGTTAAGTTTCTACAAATCGAATTGAAGATAAATAATAATAATAATTACTGCATTTATTTGCCCCTTATCTCGCCATAAACCAAACCGAAGAAAAGTAAAACAATAGAAGAATAAAACAGGACCTTCTTTCTTGTGCCTTTTGAATGATGGCTTGAACGTCAGGCGTCCATTTCAGTTTCAATTTTCGCCGATGTGTGTGTGTGTGTTTGTCTCTCTTTCCAGACCCCGCTTGGCGCTCCTTTCTTGCCTGCTGCTCCTGGAAAGACCCCCCTGCCGAGTGGGACGCAGCCCCCCGGACAGCCCCTGCCGGGTCAAAAAAGGCGATTTACGGAGGAACTTCCGGATGAACACGAATCCGGATTGCTGGGCTACCAGGTGCAGTAAGCCACAACCGTTCTCTTACCTGCCTCTCCCCGTCCCCGTTTCACCTTTGAAATCAAAACTAGGTTTAAATCCCAGCTAACCTCCGAAACTGTCGTTCAAACCTGGTCTGGGCTGGCCGTGTCTCTGCAGCGGCCAGTTCCGCTGAAGAAGTGACCGTCAGATGAATAGCATGAAGCCAGAGGTCACCACAGGCCTTTTCAAGGCCGATGTGATGGTTTTGGGGAGACCCTGGATCCACAAGTAGTCCTTGACTTACCGTTCGTTTAGTGACCGTTTCACAGTTAACAACGGCACTGAAAAAAGGGACTTACGACTCTTTTTCACACATCCCCACGGTGACGTCGTCGTCCAAATTCAGACGCTTGGCAACCCGACTCGTATTTACGACGGTTGCGGTGTCTCCCGGGGTGGCGTGATCCCCTTTTGCGACCTTCTGACAGGCCAAGCCAATGGGGAAGCCAGTCTCACTTAACAACGGGGTGACTAACTTAACTGCAGTGATTCACTGAACGACTTAAACCTCTGCGGCGGAATTCACTGAAGCGTCTCAGCAATGGAAAATTTGCTCTCCGTCGTGGTCGTAAGTCGAGGACCACATGTATTTGGGGTGGCCGCTGTCCCGGGACAGCCGGAGTAGTGAAGGTGGTTGGCCAAAATAATAATAATAATAATAATAATAATAATAATAATAATAATAATAATAATAATAATAATAATAATAATAATAATAATAATAATAATTATTATTATTATTATTATTATTATTATTATTATTATTATTATTATTTAAGGCTTGAAAAATTTAAGATTTGCAAGCTTTGGTTTCCTCTGAAGTCGAGCGCCCGGGTTTGTGACCTCCGCCGCTCAAACTTGGGGTTTCAAATCAGATTTTAGATAGGGGGCAATTTGAAATAGGAGGGTAAAAAGGCAGAATTTGGAGGGGGAGTTTCCACAGAAGCATTTTGGGGCCGATTTAAAATCGGCAGGCGAGATTTAGAGGTGAGGAATCTGGAGATTTCTCTAGCTGCTTTCCAATAATTTAGATCAGTGTTTCTCAACCTTGACAATTTTAAGGCAGGTGGACTTCAACTCCCAGAATTCCACAGCCAGCATTGCTGGCTGTGGAATTCTGGGAGTTGAAGTCCACATGCCTTAAAATTGTCAAGGTTGAGAAACACTGGTTTAGGTCAAGTCACGATAAAACAGGAAGAAGGCCTGTTTGCCTATCAGCTTAAGGAAAGTAATTCGTAACAACTTGACTATTTATTATCTGGGGCATAAAAACGACAGGGAAAAAAAAACCTTCTTTGTGTGTTGCTAAAAGGAACAGCCACACAAAAGTTGCGTTATCGAGTCATCCGAAGTTGCGTAGTCTTCATTTAGAGAAAAAAAATCAAGCTTGCTTTCGGAGTTTCTCTTTCCAACTGACTAAAACACGAGGGAAAAAAAAGTGACTTTTTTCTAACCTTTTTGGAAAAGGCGACAACGATGTGTTTGTAGGGTTAGGCCACACACACACACACACACACACACACACACACACACTGGGCAGAGTTCCCCTGGTCCTGTAACGATGGTGATGGGGAACTACAATTGGGCAAATCTTAATCGGAAAAGACCCTAACTCGCAATGTTAGTTCCGGTTGGGGCTGCACGATTCTCGGCCTGACACTGTTAACCAGGTTAGATAGGGCCACACTAGGTTCCCGGGGCCTCTAACCAGGGTCTGCCTGCCCCCCCTAGTAGCAGAGAGATATCAGCTTGAAAGGCAGAGCAAGAAACTAAACATCACATTTGCAGTGCAGCTGGTCCTCACAACAATTCCTTTGGTGACCGTTACAACTGAATAAATTGACTTACGCCCAAGTTGTTACCTTCCCTTTTTCAAGACCGGGAGATAAACACAAAATGCCTATTTATTTATTTATTTTTTTATTAGTAGCCACACCATTCAAGACCTTCTTTTATGAGAAATAGCATGGACGTATTCCAGGCATTCTCTCCAACTTGAATTAACTAGACCAGAGAGATTTATTTCTAGCGTGCAACCCAGAAGCCGCAGACGGAGCAATTCTGCAGCTTCTTAAGATCCCAGACTTCAGCTTGGAGCTGTCTTTACACACACCCGCCGTGCTTGGGTGGATCCCGTGTTTAAATTTAATCAGCAGCTCCTCCTCGGCTTAACGACCGTCAAGTTGATTGTAAAACTGATCAGCATATGACCGGGCCTGATTCTAGACCTCTTTGGCAACGGTCATTAAACAAAGCCAGCAGTCCTTGAGTGAATACCTGGTTCGCTTTGGGGTGGATTTTGCTGGAGAAATCGGACGTCGAATCCGTTTCCTAGCCAAAAGGCTGCAAATTGCATCCAGATGACCGCGGGATGTAGGTCCAGATTGACCTACCCGCACCCAAAATGCATTCATAGTATGTTTGCTCCTGGTTCAAGGTAGTGCCAGGACCTTAGAGGCAATTTCCAAAACCTGAAAAAAAAAAAAAAAAGAAGTCCCAAAACTGTAGGATGCTGGCCACATTCTTATTTTAAGGAAGCCAAAGAGAAAATGTTGGGCCTCCACAACGAGGCTTTTATTTTTTATTTTTTCATTAAGGAGCTGATAGCTCAACTCCAGTGTTTTAGATTTGCTAATGCTGCTGTGTTTTTCTGCTCATAGCATGGACCCATTCATATGACTAATTTAGGTACAGGCTTCTGCATTCCGACCGACCTGGATGGGACAGGCCCGAAGCCAGCATGTTCCTCAGGAAAGGAGAGAGAGAGGGACAGGTGAGTGGGAAGCTTGGGACAGCCCTGCGAGGTAGGCCGAGCCGGGAGAGTCGAACCCGCTCGGAGACATGCTAGAGCTGGACAGGGAGTCCTTCGGCTTACAACAGCGCTGGGTGTTGAACATCAGACTGCCTGTCATCTAAAGACAGGGAAGATGGGGCTTAAGATCCATCCATTGAGCAAGGGCCTAGTCTGGATAGACTGAGAATTTAAGCTGGAACTAGAATTCCCCATCTCCTGGTGATTGGCCCAAAGTCACCTAGCTGGCTTTCATGCCTAAGGCGGGACTAGAATTCCCCATCTCCTGGTGATTGGCCCAAAGTCACCCAGCTGGCTTTCATGCCTAAGGCGGGACTAGAATTCCCCATCTCCTGGTGATTGGCCCAAAGTCACCCAGCCGGCTTTCATGCCTAAGGCGGGACTAGAATTCCCCATCTCCTGGTGATTGGCCCAAGTCACCCAGCCAGCTTTTATGGCTAAGGTAGGACTAGAACTCACCATCTCTTGGTGATTGGCCCAAAGTCACCCAGCTGGCTTTCATGCCTAAGGCGGGACTAGAATTCCCCATCTCCTGGTGATTGGCCCAAAGTCACCCAGCCGGCTTTCATGCCTAAGGCGGGACTAGAATTCCCCATCTCCTGGTGATTGGCCCAAAGTCACCCAGCTGGCTTTCATGCCTAAGGCGGGACTAGAATTCCCCATCTCCTGGTGATTGGCCCAAAGTCACCCAGCTGGCTTTCATGCCTAAGGCGGGACTAGAATTCCCCATCNCCAGTGATGGGGATGAAGCCGGAGCCGGACGACCGAAACGGGTCCTTGGGGGGCAGCAACGGTGAGCGTGTGCAGCCGAGAGGCCCGGCTTGCGTTGGTTTTCCTGTCTCCTTTGCGTTGATGCTTCTTGCCGGCCTGCTGCGGCCGGCCTCACCCTCCGGGCCTTAAGCCTCGAGGCACCTCCAGCTTCTCTTTGCCCTTTCGGTTGAGTTTCCCCTAAACCCAGAGCGGACGAGTCCCTTTGGGTGTGTGTGTGTGTGTGTGTGTGTTGTGTTTTTACCCTCTTTCAAGATCAGCAGCCCCAATCCACCCACACATGTACACACAACGATTTCTCAGTCCTGTGTAGGATATCTGTCTCCTTACACCTCTGCGAAACATGGCCGAACCGAGATCAAATCTTCCCCCCTTCCCCATTCTCCTCGCCCCATCTTTTCATACCCCATTCAGACACACACACACACACACACACACACACACACCCCGATCCTAGGGTCCTCAAGACGCTATTCACTTTTTTCCCAGGAAGCTGTGCAGACACCCCCCCCCCCTTAGGCAGAACTAGGAGGCCCACCTGCACCCGGAAGGCGGCGACCTGCCTACAGACAGTCCTCGACTTATGACAGTTTTGTTTAGTGACTTTTCGAAGTGAGAACAGCACTGAAACAAGGGACTTATCGCCCCTTTTCACAATTAACGGCCGTTGCAGCCTCCCCACGGTCACGTGATCCAAATTCCACCGACTCCTGTTTAACGAACCACCGACTCCTGTTTAACGACGGCGGCAGTGTCCCTTTTTGCGACTTCCCAACGAGCAAAGTCAAACGGGGAAGCCGTTGACTCAACCGCCGCGTTACCTTCTTAACAGTCGCAGCGGTTCCCTTCAACATGGCAAGGAAAGTCGTAAAATGTTTAGCATATCACTTGTGTCTCGCTTAGCGACGGAAACGTTGGGCTCCCTTCTAAGTCGAGGGCTGCCTGCCTTTAGTTCACTTAAGAGAAGTTAAAATACAAAAACACCAAACTATTTTTAAAAACAAAACAAAAAACCCGCAACAGACCAGAGACATTAAAAAGAAAAAATGTCTTAGGGGGCTGAATAAATAGAACACGGCCATATTAATTTCCCAGCCCTTTAAAAAAACAGGCCAACCTTTTTTTATTTTATTTTTAAAACAAACTACCCCACCTCTAAATCCGTTTAAAAAAATGTTAGCTTGTCATCTTTTGGAAAACAATTTGGGCAAAGAAGGCTAGTTGGTTTCTTCCTTTTGACATATATTCTTTGAAACGGAGAGCTCACCAACGCCTGACCTTGCTAACTCTACCTTTTTTTTTTTCTTCTTTTTTTGTGTCTTTCTCTCTCTCTCTCTCTCTCTCTGTTCTCTTACATGGTACTGCCGGATCATAACACACCGTTGGCGGGACCCTGTGTCGTGCGACCACCGCTGACCTGCGGGTGACCGTTGATTCGGGGGCCTTCGGAACGGTGTCCGACTAACGTGTTTTTTTGAAATTAACCCAATTTGGGGGAAAAATTGTTTGATCTTTCTCTTCCCCCTTTTTTTTTTCCTACCCCGTCCTTGTTTGGGGAATCGGGTGGGGGCTGGGGTTTTTTTTTTTCCCCTTCTCTTTCGTCCTTTAGATCACCCTGCCAAGAAGATGAAAAGCGGAGAAAAGGAACTGGGGCTGGTGGCCTACACCGGCGACTCGTCGGACGAAGAGGAAGACCACGGGAGTCTTAAAAATGCAAGTAGCTACTCGCAGACGTGGAGACTAGGGTACCAGTATCCGTCTTCGCAGCAGCGGGCGAAGCAGCAAATGCCGTTTTGGATGGCCCCTTAAAACTCTTCCCTCCCTCTCCGTCCTCGCCGTCTTCAAGCAATAAAAAAACAACAACAACAACGCATGTATTCGATCAAACACAGTCCGGGCAAACCCGGAAGCTCGTCCCCTGCACATGTTTTTGAGATGCAATACGCCTCTTTTTTTGTGTGGCTGGGCTGTTTTCCTTGCCCTCCTCTCCTCCTCCTCCTCCTCCTCCTCCTCCTCCTCCTCCTCTTCCAGTGACGAACGTTGGGAGCGACTCGTGGGAAAAATCCCCCAACGGCTTCTTTGGCAACACAACAGCCGATCTCCGTGGTTTTTGTGTGATAACTTTGCAAGGAGCGTCCTTCGCTTTGCGTTTCCTCCTGGATCTTCTCCGCAGAATCTTTGTGTGTGTGTGTGTGGGGGGGAGGCTTTGGAAGAAACGCCGGCCAGCCAGCTTGCCCCACTTCACCAGCTGCCGTTCCGTGTTTGTTTCTCGCTGGGAAGAGAAGAATTTTTTTCCTCCCTCCCAGGAGTGCGTGATGCTTCCCGCCTTCCGGAATTGGAGAGGAAAACTTTTTAACGGATTGTTTTGGACTCTTAGGATCCCTCCCCAGAAGGGATTTCTGTTCCTTTTTCAGTTTTTGTTTTGTTTTTTTTAAAAAAAAACATTTTAACCATTAGAAAATGCAGCTTTTGTAGTTGGATCCTGCTGGAATTTATTTTTATTTTTATTTTTTTTTGCCTGGCTGATAAACCTTTAATTTTCTGGGCCTTCCTCCATTTTGCCAAGCCTCCTTAGGCAAGGAGTGAACACACTGGGGGGCTGGGGGGGGGCTGGGAGGGGGGATTCAGGCAAGCCAACTGTAGAATTGTCCCGTGGTTTTTTTTATCCCAGCTTCTTCCACCAGCGTGGAGTTATTTTTTAGTATGGTAACCATCTCCTTTCTGTTCCAAATTGCAGCCGGCAACCAGATTTCATTTTATGGTGGTTCCCCCCTGCTTTTTTTTTTTTTTTTTAATAGAAATACATTTTCTGGAATTGGTAGAACGTGGTCCTATCTGAAGGGACAGGATTCTTAGGATTGTTTTTCTAGTGGTTCGGAACTAACTGGCTTCCACTGGACATGTTGGTCTGTTACCCGGCAAATGTGGGGTTTGGGATTTTTTTGCACGATGAAATGCACACACAGCCTTGAGAGCGGGGGGACCGCAGAGCCTGCTCCCCTTTTGCCCTGTGTTCCACCCACAAAAGCATATTTAAAGAAATTGGATCAAGTTGTCAGATGGATCTCTTCTGACAGGTTTGCTTCACCCCCAAAGCAGCCCACCTACCCCAAAACCTCACTCTGTTCTCTGATTTTCTACATGTTGTAAATAAATTGAGCCATAATTTCGCGATAAATGTACAAATGTTCTACTTCCTTTCTTGTCCGTTTTTCTTTGGAGGAGGTTTGGTGAATGCGACTCAAATGTTCCTAGCAAGTGCAAGCATCTGTTTATTGAATCATAAGTTTGTTTGGGGGGAAAAAATTCATGTATTTGGCTTTTTTTTGGGGGGGGGGGAGAAGGTTGGTTGCGTGTCCTGGGAGGATGCTGTCCTAGGTTTGTGTTGATTTGTGTGTTTGCTAAACTCAGCAACTTTTTAAGACATGTGGGGCTTCAACTGCCAGAATTCCCCAGCCAGGATGTGTTGACTTTAAATCCCAGAATTCCCCAGTTTGTGGGGATTGTGACTCCCAGAATTCCCTACCTAGCATGTATGTACTTCAACTCCCAGAATCCCCCAGTCAGATTCTAGCATCTAGCATTCCTGAGCCAGCTTGTGCAGACTCCAGCCCCCAGAATTCCCCAGCCAGAGTAGGTGGACTTCAACTCCCATGCTGGCTGGGGATTTCTGGGAACTGAACTCGGCCCTTAAGGTTGATTTGATTGATTTGATTTGATTTATTATATTTATACCCCGCCCTTCTCCCGGAGGACTCAGGGCGGCTTACAGCCAGTTTAAAAACAGTTTGATACAAATACAAAATTTAAGAAAATAATTAAAAATAAATATTTAAATAGGTTGCTGAAGTTAAAGAGATCCTGGTGTAGAGATCCTTTAATGGGATCCCAAAATCCTAATCCAGATATTTGATGTCCCCCTTTCACCGGTGTCTTAGCCATGCAGATGTTTGCAGCTGTGCCCAAGAGAACTTAGTCCGGCTGGAAGGGTGCAACGCGCTAAGCCAAAACCCAACCGTGTTTGCAGGGCATCCTGGTTTGCAAAACCAACTGATCCACTTTGAGCCTTGCAAGGGCAGGATCTGGATGGAATCCACCATCATGTGGGAGCCCATTGATGGTGGCACCAGCCATCCTGAATTGAAATCTGCTTCTTCACATACACGGGGTCAAGATCCTTGCTTTTTAATATCAGCAAACTGCGATTATAATGAAAAAGTGGAAAGCAAATGGATTTTCCCCCCCATTTTCCGACCTTTAGCTGCAGAAGGACAAAGGGAAGTGGGGCTTTTGTTGCAACCCGGACGTCTCGTATGCAACCGAGAGCCACCATCGTTTTAAGACCTTCGAGCGGCCTCGCTCTTTTCTTCGCCCCGTTCAGCAGACGAGCACACAAGCACACACCTTTCCACTCAGGTGCGATGCAGCTGTATTCCGTTAGTATAATACACAGCGCTCCGCAATCCAGTCGGGGCAAGACCGTCTCCTTTCCACGCACGGCCCCTTCCCTCGAGAACCGGAATTGTAAGGCTCTCACACCTTAATAGCCTTTTGAGCGGGGTTGCGCGCGCAAGCGTCCTTGCGAAAGACGCGGCGGCGGCGGCGGCGTGAAGCGGAAGGGGCGTGACCGGTGGGGGTGGGTGGGGCGTGACCGGTGGGGCGTGGCCAGCACCGTCGGCGCCGGCGCCATTTTGTCCGCCTCAGCGGGCGGGAAGAAGATGAGGCGGAGAAGCGTCTCCGTCGCGCTCCGTCCCGTGAGGCAAAGTCAGGCCCGTTGACGCCCCCGAGGGGCCCGGGAGGCCTCTCGAGGCGGGATGGAGCCCTCCGGGCCGCGGGGCCCGGCGGGAGTCGTCTCGGGTCCGCCCGCGGGGCAGCCCCGGGAGTACAAGCTGGTGATGTTGGGCGCCGGCGGGGTCGGGAAGAGCGGTACGTGAGGCGGAGAAGGGCCGGATTGGGCCTTGAGGGCTTCGCTCCCGCGGAACTCCCTGCCACTAGAAGCCCCAAAGCCCCTCTGGGACGGAGTTTGCAGCTCTTGAAGGGCTTAGGGGGGGCATTTCAACCACCTCCCCACTTTCCTGGCCTTCAGAAAGAGGGCAAGAGGCGGGGAAGGGCTGGACTGGGCCTTGAGGGCTTGGTACCCGCGGAATTCCCTGCCACTAGAAGCCCCAAAGCTCCTCTGGGAGGGAGTTTGCCACTCCTGGGGGGCTATTAATCCCCCTCCCCACTTTCCTGGCCTTCAGAAAGAGAGCAAGAGGCGGGGAAGGACTGGACTGGACCTTGAGGGCTTAATGCCTATGGAACTCCCTGCCACTAGAAGCCCCAAAGCTCCTCTGGGAGGGAGTTTGCAGCTCCTGAAGGGCTGAGGGGGGCATTTAAGCCCCCTCCCCACCTTCCTGCCCTTCAGAAACAATGCAAAGGCCTGGCCATGGCAACCTTTTAAATCTTGCTTTTAATTTTCTTCCTATTTATACCATGATATTATTTTGTTTTGAGCCACACTGGAGTCACTCATAGGAGATGGGTGGTGTAGGAATGTGATGAATGTATAAATCGTGATAGAGCAACGACTGGGATGGTTTAACCATGATTTATTGCATAAGCCAGAGTGGCTTACATACATACATACATACACACACATATATATATCCACGACCATGCAATTCATCATATACATATACATATGTACACATACATATACACACACATGGGTGTGTATATGTGTGTGTATATACTGTAGTACACACACACGCTAAGAAGGTTTACCTTGATAAAAGGGGAAATATTGACTGAAATCCTGTATTTATTCCTGAGAAGGTTTTCGTGATAACTCTTTGATTTACAGCCAGAAGACCTGCAATTGTTGTTTTGGATGAAACCATGTGTTTACTCTGGAAACATACTAGGAGCTTTTTATTATAATTGTATTTATTTATAGCCAGAAGTCCTGCAATGGTTATTTTGGGTGAAACTACATGTTTATTCTTGAAACTGACATATTGGGAGCTTTTGATTATAATTGTACTTATTTATAGCCAGGAGACCTGTAATTGTGCTTTTGGGCTGTGTTTATCCCAAGATTGATGATGGGCAAGAAGCTTTTTTATGATTGTTTTTATTTACAGCCCGAAGATCTACGCACTTGTTATTTGGGGCCGAAACTATGTATTTATTCCTAAGATTGGCACAGCAGAAGCTTTTTTATGAGAATTGTGTTTATTTAGAGCTGGTCTCAGAGCAGTCTCCATTTTCACTGTTTGTTAACCTGTTTGTTTCCTCCTTACAGCCATGACTATGCAGTTCATCAGTCATCGTTTCCCAGAAGACCACGATCCCACTATCGGTGAGTGGGTCTGGCTGCTGCTTTACACTCTTTAGTTATGAAGGTTTGTTTAACTGGATTTGGTGGGAGATGCAGCCTGTCCCAAATCCTCCTGAAAATATGTCGGATTTCTGTATATTGATTTGACAGACGGCTTATCTAGTCAACTAACAGGCTGGCACTAAATTGATAAAGAGTTAAGAGAATTCAAGAGGGAGCGGACTTGGGACCATTTGTAGGCACGTAAGGATTCTAGGCTGAGTCCTCTCTTGACTCCGCCCCCAGCTCTGCCTCTTGTGTGATACAGCCTACTCTAACCATCTCCCTTCATTTATGAAATAAAAATGGCACAGCAACATGCAAATTTACAATTAAAAAATGCCCCTATAAAATATACCTGTTCTCCCCCCCCCCCCCATTGAATCTGTTGCTGATCCAGGCAGCAAAAGCGTTCCTGTCGATGCGTTCAGGAAAATCATATTTGCACGATGCCCTGAACACTGTTTTTTCCTCCCCCCCCTTAATGCTGAATGTTAACACCTATATGTATTATGGGGAAAAATCGAAGGCCCCACCATTTGACCTTTTAATAATAATAATAAAGTTGGAAGGGGTCCTGGAGGTCCTCTAGTCCAACCCCCTGCTCAGGCAGGAAACCCTATAGGACTTCAGACAAATGGCTGTCCAGTCTCTTCTCTTTTCTGACTGTGTTTCTCCCTATAGAGGACGCTTACAAAATGCGGATCCGGATTGACGACGAACCTGCTAATCTGGATATTTTGGACACTGCAGGCCAGGTATTTCACAACTATGTAGCCTTTCCTGTTGTGCTTCCCCCCTCTCCCCCTACGGGCTTTAGTGATTTCTAAACAGCCCTCCAGGGTGGCTGCATGTCACATAGTTTGCATGCTTTGCATGGAGAACTGAAAATAACCACCTAGTGAATTCCATACTCCATAGTTGGTCTCCCTGCTTGTTACTTACTAACAGTCGTTACACGATGCTTTTTCACTGACCAGAATAGCCCTCCAGAATATGCTGGAAGCCCAGCTGTTTCCTGCACCTGGCCAGCCTCAAAAAAACCTTGCAGGAAGAAGCCACTAAAAAAAACAACATACTTTCCCTTCCGGCAGGCTGAATTCACCGCTATGAGGGACCAGTACATGCGGGCTGGCGAGGGGTTTATCATCTGCTACTCGATCACGGATCGCCGGAGTTTTCACGAAGTCCGGGAGTTTAAGCAGCTCATCTACCGCGTCCGGCGCACGGACGAGACTCCGGTGGTCCTGGTGGGCAACAAGTCTGACCTCACTCAACTCAGGCAGGTAAAAAAAGCTTGAAACGCAGACTCATTTCTGACCGGGAGGTCCTCGACTGAACGACCGCAACGGAGCCCAAGATTTCTCTTAAAAGTGAATTTTGTCCCGTTTTTACAACCTTTCCGGCTGCAGTTGTGAATCCGCCGCAGTTCTTAAGTTAGCCACTTGTTAAGTGAATCTGTGTAAAAGGGGGTCACACAACTGCAACTGTCGTAAATACGACTCGGTTGCTAAGTGCCTGAGGTTTGATATGCAGCGGTCATAAGCATGAAAATCAGTGCTAAGTCACTTTGTCCCCATTGCCGTTGTAACTTCGGTCGCTAAATAAAACGGTTGTAAAGCGAGGACTGCCCTTGTTTTGTCCCCCTCGCTGTTCCCCCCCCCCAATTCTCGCGTGCGCTTTCTTGCCCAAAAGGTCTCCAAGGACGAAGGCTGTTCGTTGGCCCAGGAGTTCGGCTGCCCTTTCTTCGAAACCTCCGCCGCCTTTCGTTACTACATCGATGACGTGTTTCACACCCTGGTCCGGGAAATCCGACGGAAGGAGAAGGAGAGCGTCATGGCGCTGGAGAAGAAGTCCAAGCCACGTCCGAGCGTTTGGAAAGCCTTGAAATCGCCCTTCCGGAAGAAGAAAAATTCCGTAACCTGAATTCTTCCTCCCTCCCTCCCCCTCCCCAAAAAGGCCTCCCTTAAGCAGAGGAGCTTTCACCTCTGCAGAGAGAGAGAGGCAAAACAGCCCGGCAGCTTTTGACTCTTTGTTTCTGCTGAGTGTGTAAACTTGAACTCCTGACCCGTGCCAAAAACCTTCAAAGGCCGCTCTTAACGCTTTTCCTCGGGCGCGTCTGCTCGCCGTTTCTGCCCGTCCAGCCCGAGCAGGCTGGCCAAACAAGGAAGCAATTGACCTAGAAACGGACAAACCATCTTTGCAAACCAGCCACCTCGGCTTTGCTCGGTGGCTGTGGCCGATTCGGTCTCGGCTTGGCGTTTCGGCCCCGATTTGGAGGAATCTTGGCTTTTGATGTGGGTTAGGGTGACCCAGTTTAGAAGCAGTCCAACTCCTTAACATTGCCGTGTTGAAGTGAAGGGGGCAGACGGATGTACTGTAAACCAGGTTTTTGATTTCTCACTCGGTGTACGCGATCCAAACGGGCCTGGTTGTTGTGAGGAAGAATTGCACAGCTTGTGCAGTCTTTGCTGTCAAAATTCTGCTCTAACATGTGTTTCTCATGCCGCCTCTTTTCCGCGCTCGTGCCCGGGTTCGCAAAGATGGGATTCCCTTGCAAAGTGGGAACTGTCTGCAGTTTATGTCATTTGAACAGAAAAACAGAGTGGGAAGGGAGCTCGGAGGTCTTCTAGTCCAGCCCTCAGAAAACAGAAAAGTGTTTTTTTCTTTTTGTCAGATTCTATCACTTTGGCATGAACAAGGGAGACCGAAGGATTAGGCTCGTGCTCCGATAAATGGCAGCAAGGGATGCTGAGGGGCAATAAGGGGATGTGATTAATTGGAGGCGTAAAGTTATAGCAGGTGTAATTGGAGGTGTAAAGTTGGTGTAGGGCAAGTTGTGTTCGGCGGGAGAAATGGGGAGAGAGTTGGTAAACCCCAAGTTGGGAGAATGGTAAGGTATTGAATTTGCTTGTGTCAAATTTGTAGCATCACTCACAAGGCGTGTTGTGTTGGTAGCAGAGTCTTGAAAGAGATTTTGGCCATGCTGAGCCAAGGGGCCCAGCGGCATCCCGCCTGCTTTTATGGAAGAGTTTGGGTCAGTTTTTTTTTCCCTGGGGTGCTGTGTGGGTGGACCCCAAAATGGAGCCCACAGGACTGAATAGGGAGGTTTTGATAGGTGTGCAGGTGGCATGAGAGGGAGGCTCTCCTGGAAATGAAAAAAGGCTGAGTTGGGGTCCTTTGTTGAAGGTAAGAGAGTTGTGTGTCTCAGAGGTCTTGAAATCCCCTCCCAGTGGGTCTCTTAAATTTTGTGAACCCTCCTAAAAAAATAACCTGCTTTAAATTGAATTAACTCTTTAAAAACATAGTTTTCCTGTCTGCGTGTCAGGCCAGGCCTGGATCCTTTCGTTCTCCTTAGAGCCGTGACACATTGTGGGGCAATTTTTACAGAGTGTTGTAAGCATTGTGTGTGGTTTACACAGAGTAGGGAAATGTCACAGCCCCTTGCCAAATTTCTCTCATTTAAAGAATGGCAGAAAATAATGGATCTTTTTACTTTCCCAAGAGACTGAATAAGCCTTAGATATTTCTTCTAGGTAATTTTTTTTATTGCTTTTGGATTTTCAAATGTTACCGATTATAGTGTTTGATATATGTATGTATTTATAGACTCTTACGGAGAAATTGGGTAGCTGGGGAAGAGGAAAACGACATTCCATTTAGCAAGAGTTATTTTGAATGTATTTTATTGACTGTAGCAATATACGGTATATTTAAAATTAGTAAATTAACGTTACGAACAATGCTGGATACTTTCCATAGCTATTAATTTAGAAGCAGATTAAATCTAATTTTAATTTTTATACCATCGGCATACCTGTATAATGTAGATATGTTCAAGGTTTTTTTTTAAAGAGACTACAGTAGTTCAAGGTAAATAACGTCACTAACATTTGTGACTGAAGGAGTCACAATCTCAGTTCTCTTTTCATTGTCAAGTTCTCATTCCAGAAAAAAATGACTTGAAGCAAGAATGAATTGTAGCAGATTCAAAGCCTGCTGTTTAAGCCAAACTTTTTTTTTTAAAGCAACTTTCTTAATTTGTGCCTTAGCAGAATTCAGTATTTTGTGGTGCTAATGGTGAAATCTTTTGTTTTTCCTAGCATGATTACATCTGAATATTAAGCACTTTCTTTGGACACAATTCCTATCTTTTATGGTTCACGTATATATTGCACTTGATACAATAAATATTTTTTTAAGCCTTAGCTTCTGTTTCTTTCCCTTGAAAGTTGGCGATAAACGCATGGGTTAGCGCTAGGTGTGACAGAGAGTGGAATAAGAATGGTGAGATTGTGAGTTGCCATCCTGCAAATGCACACGCAACAAGTTTAAAATTAAAACTCAAGAATTAACCATCCATTTGCCCCAAGAAATTCTATAGTCCTTTAATAGATCTCTGGACGGTGTTTTTATAATATCTGAGTCAGCTCTACAGGTAGTCCTTGACTTACAATCACAATTTCTGTTGCTAAGGGAGACCTTGGTTAAGAAAGTTTTGCCCCATTTTGCGACTTTCCTTAAGTTAGTTAACACGGTTGTTAAGAGAATCTGGATTTCCCATTGACTTGGTTTGTCAGAGGGTGGCGAAAGGGGATTATGTGACTCCGGGACACTGCAAACCATCCTAAGTACATGTCAGTTTCCAAGTATATGAATTTTGATGACATGACCCTGGGGAAGCTACAACAGTCATGTGAAAAAAGGGCATAAGTTACTTTTTCCAGCACCGTTGTAAAGTTAAACGGTCACTAAATGAATTATTGTAAGGCGAGGACTAACTGTACTCTTTGGGGAATCATCTTGCGCATCAGAGGATCATCGTTGGGATAAATCAGGGGTCTTCCAACTTGGCCCTTTGATGACTTGTGGACTTCAACTCCCAGAATTCCTCAGGCTGGCTGAGGAATTCTGGAAGTCCACAAGTCATCAAAGGGCCAAGTTGGAAGACCCCTGGGATAAATCAAGTATTCCTAGCTGTTCTGGTCCATAGATCTATCGAAATTCTTGAAAAGTAATTCTATTTCAATCTTAAAAAATTCTAGATTCTCTGCCAGTTACTTTTTCTTGGTGGTTTAGCTGTTCAGAACCAACCTCACAAAGCGTGCATCAGCTGTAAGATTTTTTTTTAAATTAAAAAGCTGTTTAAATGAAACAAAAAAGGGCATGCTTTTTTGTCCATTACAGTGCCCAACACCAGGTGCAGGAAGCACGAGTTAAAAGTGTGTGTGTGTGTATGTGTGTGTGTAATCCTGCTACAAATAGTTTGCAAACCTATTGCTAATATTCAGTGCCAAGTAGATCAGAGGCGCCCCTTGGCCGTTGTGTTTGCCTTACAGGCTTTTGACATTAAATTTCCTCAACGGCTAAAAACGCAGCTTGGAGGCTTTTTTTGGAGAAGAAAGGAAATTCACATCTCTTCTGGGAGTTCGGTGCCTCTTGTCACGGAGTAGCGGAAGGATGAGGTAATGGTTTTGTAGCGAGGCTGCGCGCCCGGCGTACACACACACACAATGGGGCGGGAGACGCTTCGACAGGCAGGATTGTCAAGACTGCACAAGGCCGCTTGGTGGCCCAGCCGGGAGGCGAGCTTGCAAGCAGACCTTGATGGCTTGGCAGCCTTCAAAACTGCAAGCTTTAGTAGGCAGGTTGGGAAAATTAATAGCCACAATCAGCTTGATCCCTGTTTTAGCCTTAACAAAGGAGACAGAAGCCCCCCCCCTCCTCCAGTCGCTCTTTTATCTTCCCTTTAACAATAAAAAGAGATTTCTTTTTTTTTTTTTCAGAAGCAAAGAAGCTTCTGAAGTTTAGATTTTGCCCAGTTGCAAAACTCCGCAGCAAAACTCCTCTTGGCACGTTTTTGGGACTGCCGAGAAATCAAACGATGCAAATCCGATCGGTCAATAAAGTGACTCCATTTTTTTATTTTATTTGAATGTCTGGGTGTGCGTTAAAACAATGTTGACGTTACAGATTAGCATTACATATTATGTTGGTTAGGTCAGTCTTAACAGCATTATGCGGTTATACATGGTTTGACTTTATTATTTTTTCCCTCTTTTTTTTTTTTTCCTTTTGACATAAAAGTTGTAACTTCGTTTTTTAGCTCCGTTTTAATTTTTAATTTTTATTTTTTTACAGCAGACACAAGGTGGAAAGAAAAGAAGGGGAAGAGGAACTGGATGACAACCGAAAGAAGAAGAAAAAAAAAATGTGATTTCACATCTGGGAAACGTTATGCTAAAGCAGCTTTTTTCACAAAAGTATTCCCATGTATGGTTGAAGATGGGGTGGTGGTTTAATGTTTTTTATTTATAAAAAAATCATCCCTTCTTTTTCCCCGTTAACTCCTGTGGAGGAATAGGAACTGTTTCCGTAGGCCTGAAAAGAGACAAGAGGCGGGGAACCCTGGGTCCTCTGGATCACAACTCCCATCAGCCTCGTCGATTTGGCATGCCAAAAGGGGGGTTCAAACGAAACCAAAGGCCAGCCATCCCTTGGCAGGTTCCATACCCCTGAAATAACCCTAAATCTATTTATACCCTGAGCACTTTTCCTTAACAACGTATTCCAGGCTTTTTTTGTGTGTCTTTGTTTAAAAAAAAAAAAAGCACGTCTTTTTGCTTTTAAGTGCAAATTAAAATAAAATAAAAAAGGCTTCTTAAATTGAAACTTTATTCAGCGATCAAGCAGGAAGGAGGGGCAGTTTCTGCTCACCAAAATTTCCGTAGGCAAAAAGATTGAGAGTTGCTAATGTATCATGGGCTAAAAATCCCAGATTTGTTTCACAGGAAATGATCATTTTTAAGCAGCCGCTTGCCATTCCGGCATTTTTTTACACACACATGCACACACACACACACACACCCTTCCGAAAAGGAAATTCTGTTTGTTAAGACAAATGCCTAAAAACCCCTGCGTGTTATGTACAAGCAAAGTTAATTCACCCAAATCATAGAAAACGGCAAGAGGCTTAACCAAAATAGAGCAAGCGAAGAACCAGCACGAGAATATATATGTGTGTGTATATATATATATATATTTTTTCCCCTTAAAAAAAAAAAAAGTCGGGAAGAAAAGCTGAATAGAACTAGTTGTGAATACCTGCAAAAGACTGTTCGGCACAAAAACACAACTTTTCATAGTGACAGATAAATTGCATTATTTAAAAAACAAAACAAAAAAACCTGCGTCTCAATATTGGTTAAGTTATACTAATTTTTTTGTGTTTTTTCCTTTTTTTTCTTCCCCTCGACGTCTGTACTCGGCATGCAATAGTAGTGTGATTATGCTTTTTTTAATATAGGTTTTTTGCAATATTCTTAAAATTAATGCACTTTTTCCCCCTCTCGCCACGGTTTGCAGAACCTGTGTGTGTGTGTGTGTGTGTGTGCGTGCTGTGTACGGGCGCCTTTGTAAACAATGTCACAACAGAGAAACCAGTCAGCTGCTTCTTATGATGGAAACGGTCAGTTCTACGCCTAAAATAGAAGGGGCCGTTATTTGGGGAGGGGCTTGGGAAAGGGAGGGGGAAACCGAGTCTCTTGAAGGGGGCGCCGGGTACGAATCGGCATCCCGGCCGCCTTCCCACATACCCTGCTTAATATTCGCTCAAGCTGTGCCACTTTGCGATCTGCTTCCGGGGGTTTTCGCACACTTCCCGCCAGTGTTCCACTCCGCCCGCCGTGACGCTGTGCACCCCCAGGATCAGCCGCCCCACCACCTCGTTCTTGGTGGTGCGGTCAAAGTCGATGACCAGGAACTCCATGCTGACGTCAGGCAGCAGATCGGTGGGGATGTCGTAAATGAAGGACTCGTTGAAGACGGGGTTCAAGGTGCACTTCTTGACGTGGGTCTTCTTTTTCGCGATCCGCTTCCTGCCGTAGTAGACGTTCACCTTGACGTAAGGGTCTGCGGAAGAAGGAGGGAGAGGCCAATAACACAGTCCGGGAACGAGGCTGCTTCCTCTGAGGAGTCGCAGGCCACTTAGACTTATATTCCACTTCCCAGTGCTTTACAGCCCCCTCCCTAAGCGGTTTACAGAGTCAGCACGTTGCCCCCCCCTCCCCAACCATCTGGGTCCTCATTTTACCGAGCTCGGAAGGATGGAAGGCTGAGTCAACCTTGAGCCAGTCAGGATTGAACTGCTGGCAGTGGGCAGAATTAGTCTGCAATGCTGCATTCTAACCACGGGGAAGGGAAGGAAAGGGAAGGGAAGGAAGGGGAAGAAGAGGGAGGGGGAAGGAAGGAAGGAGAAAGCGAGAGGGAGGAAGGAAGAGGAGGGAGAGAGAAGGAAGGAAGAGCAGCACTTTACAGCCCTCTCAAAGAGATTCACAGAGTCAGCATATTGACCCCCAACAATCTGGGTCTTCATTTTACCCAGCTCGGAAGGATGGAAGGCCGAGTCAATCTTGAGCTGGTCAGGATCGAATTCCTGGCTGTGGGCAGAGTTAGCCTGCAATACTGCATTCTAACCACAGGGAAGGAAAGGGAAGAGAGGGAAGGGAAGGGGGGGAAGAAGGAAGGAAGAAAGAAAGAAGGAGAAAGCGAGAGGGAGGAAGGAAGAGAGGGAGGTAGGAGGAAGGAAGGGGAGGAGGAGGAGAAGAAAGGGGGAGGGAGGGAGAAGGAAGGGAAGGAGGAAGAGGAAGGAAGGAAGACCACATTACAGCCCTCTATAAGAGATTTAAAGAGTCAACATATTGACCCCCAACAGTCTGGGTCCTCATTTTACCGACCTCGGAAGGGCGGCAGGCCGAGTCAACCTCGAGTCGGTGAGATTCGAACCGCCGAACGACTGGCAATCGGGAGTCAGCAGGATCAGCCTGCAAGACTGCATTCTAACCACTGCGCCACCACGGCTAGCCCTCAACTTAACGACCGCTCCTTCAGCGACCATCCAGTGTTAACGCCACTCAAGAAGAGTGACGTGGCTTTTTCACCCTTCACGACCGTTGGCAGCATCCCCACGGTCGCGCGATCCAAGTTCAGGTGCTTAACGGTCTCCTACTTAACGACGGTTGCGGGATCCTGTCGGTGGAGATTCTCCAGGTCACGGCGGTCCCAAAAGGGCCGTTTTGCAAAAGGCAACTGGACCTCTTTGTTTTTCCATGAGGAAGTTTCGCTTCCCATCCAGGAAGCTTCTGAAGAAGCGTCTTGGATGAGGAGGAGCGACAAAGGGGGGACAAAGATGTCCGGTTGCCTTTTGAAAAAGCACCTTTGGGGGAAACCACGATCTGGAGGACGGAGAATCTCCATAGACAATTTCAGACTCTACGTCGGGGGTCTTCAAACCTGGCCCTCTGATGACTTGTGGACTTCAACTCCCAGAACTCCTCAGCCAGCATGCCTGGCTGAGGAATTCTGGGAGTTGAAGTCCACAAGCAGGGGTCTTCAAACTTGGCCCTCTGATGACTTGTGGACTTCCAACTCCCAGAATTCCTCCGCCAGGGCCCAGTTTGAAGACCCCTGCTCTATGTAGCCCAAGACTGAACAGTGGAGATCTTGGACCTCCAACCTCAAGAGAGCACCAAGGACTTCCCAAAATATTGCCCAACGGGCTGGGGTCGAAGGTGATGTCAGCCATCGTTTCAGCCCCCATCTTTGGAAAGGCACTGGAGGAAACCCAAGGATAGGCCGGAGAAAATAGCTTCTACCTGAGAGGCCGGTGATGTCCATCTTGGGCAGCTGCCTTGCTTTCAACACCATGACGGTCATCCTCTGGGCCACAGGCTGATACGACAAGGACACCTGTAGCTCTCCTCGGCTGATGCATTTCTGGAAAGAGAAGAGGAGACATCCTCTTTCTTGAGAACCTCAACCAGCATCCCTGGAAACGCTTGGACACCCAAACTCTGGATGGCCGAAACTAGGAGAACGTCTACGGCTTCGGTAGAAGGAGGACCTGACCAATTTTGACCTTCATCTCAATGGGAGAGCCAGTTTTGCTAACTAACCAGGTTGCTAACTTAACCGCTGCCGTGATTCGCTAAAGAAACGTGAGAAGAAAAGTCGCAGAATGGGGCAAAAACTCACTCAACGAATGTCTCTCTTGGCAACGTAAATTTGGGGCTTACAGTCACGGTTAAGTCAAGGACTACCTGTACAGGTGTCCACTCCACTCTCAGCAAGAGGAGACTGTTTACATCCCTTCAAAGCTCAGCCTGAGCGACAAACCACAACATTTTGTGTTTGATTTCAGCCTTTTGCAGTGTTCGGTAAAGACAGGGCTTGCTGGCTGCCACAGCAACCTTAAAAAGGGTTAAGTTTTTGTTTTTTTAAACAAGATAACATGCAGATAAAACCTTTTTCATCTGGAAGAATTGTTTTTTTGGGGGGGGGGTTTAGGAAAGGAGAAAAGCCAGAGGGGGGGGGGGATGGATTGGTTTTTTTTGTTTTTTTGTTTTGGTTAAGTTTGTCCGGTGGTGGAATGAAACTGGCACCATGCCGAGTGTTAC